CTCCTAAGCTTGGATCTCACCCTGCCCCCATCAATTTTTATTTTTTAATAATAGACTTTTTTTTAGAGCAGTTTTAAGTTTATGGAAAAATTGTGCAAAAAGTACAGAGAGTTCCCATCTAAACTTGGATCTGAAACCACAAGTTACTATTATAGAGAAAAAGGGGCTGCCCAATCTCTTGAGTTCCAGGATTGTGGATTTCTGAAGAGCCATTGGACACAATGGTCTCCCTCAATGGGCTGTAACAAGAGAGATCACAAAAGTTAGAAACATCTAGAAGCAAAACAAGAGAGAGCACAAAATCTGGAAAGACACTCTTGTCCAAGGAAGAAGTCTAGTTCGTTGTTAAAGCACAGTCCATTATCTATCAATGCACCTTTCTCTCCTGATTTATGACCTCACGAGTCAGCATTTCCTGCATTAAATGTGGGGCATCTCCCTTTCTCCATCCTCCCCACCCCATGTTTAACCTCTGGGAAAATCTTTTTTGAGGATGGAGTTATTAATGGCTACATAATAGTTCATCAAATGGATTTATCATAATTTCCTTGGCCATTCTCCCATACTAGGATATTTAAGCTGCTTGCTTGCTTCTCTCTCTCTCTACTTTTTAAAACAATAATGTTGCCGTGAACATCTTTGTGCATAATGCTTGCCCTTAATATTCTTAAGATAAATTCTCAAAGCTTAAGCTTACTAGGTCAAGCTACATGAAGGTTTTAAAGGCGCTTGATATTTAATGTTCATAATACTTTACAAAAAAGGGAAAACTACTCCCTTTTCATTTTGGACTCTGTAAGATAGTATTTACTTGGGAGACTTGCCTTCTCCTGGCACTACTGCTCAGTTCATATTAAAAGGAGTGTGTTTATGGAGTGTTCATTGCCTGGGGGAGTTGGGGTGGGGAAGGAGAGCCAACCAGATTGGCCCTGAAATCCATTGCAGATGATCCGTAGGGGGGCATGTCTGATAAATAACCAAAGATGGGAGCGTTACTGTAGAGCAGTGGTTCTCAACCTGTGGGTCGCGACCCCTTTGGCAGTCGAACGACCCTTTCACAGGGGTCGCCTAAGACCATCCTGCATATCAGATATTTACATTACGATTCATAACAGTAGCAACATTACAGTTATGAAGTAGCAACGAAAATAATTTTATGGTTGGGTCACAACATGAGGAACTGTATTTAAAGGGCCAGAAGGTTGAGAACCACTGCTGTAGAGGATAAGGGAAAGTACCACAATGAACTCCCAAACCCAACTGCCATCTCAGAAGGAAATGGGTTCTGCCTGAGGCCTGAAGGTGCATAACACCTGTGTCAGGTGCAATCCTGGCGTCATTTGACTTGATGATGTACCAACAAGATGCATCTTGTCCTGACACTATCTCAGCAGATCTCCTGCTCAAACAGGTGGTGGTTGGACCAGAGTTCTGGCAGCTGCTGTTGCTGCCACTGGGGAAACTGAGATGAATGCTTACTAATGCTGTTTTCCCCAGAGGCTTGCCCAAGCCTCTGTCTGTGTCTAACAGTGTTGGCTTAATTCTGGATCAGGCCCTAAACTGAGCATGAAGATTAGACTGTTACACTATATCTTGATCACCCCCACTTCCCATTTCCCTGCCGCAGCCCCTCTCTGCACCACCCAAGTCAGCTGGCTGTGGGGGGAAGGGGCAGAGAGGGACTGAGCCAAGAGCAAGACTTGGGAGATGACATGACTCAGACACTTCAACATCACAGACACTTTCAAGAATATTAGTGGTGATCTCGGTCACTCAATCCCAACCTCACTGGGGTCACAGATCTCTGATAATCATATGAAAGCGGTCAGTCTCTCCAAAATATGCACCTGCCCAAATTCTGGCTACAATTCCAGGATATTCCACAAATCCCTGACACCGTCCATCTAGACCAGTGATGGCGAACCTTTTGAGCTCGGCGTGTCAGCATTTTGAAAAACCCTAACTTTACTCTGGTGCCGTGTCACATATAGACATTTTTTTATATTTGCAACCATAGTAAAACAAAGATTTATATTTTTGATATTTGTTTTATATATTTAAATGCCATTTAACAAAGAAAAATCAACCAAAAAAATGAGTTCGCGTGTCAGAGGTGACCCGTGTCATAGGTTTGCCATCACTGATCTAGACTAAGCCTTTAATTTCGCAGATGAGGACATGGAGAACCTGCGGAGATGCAGGGCTTTGCCCAACGTTATACAGAGGAGAGAACTGAATTCAAACTCAGATCCCCTGATTCCCGATATAGGACCCAATACAGTAGGTTTCCACTCTACGTTGAGCCCTATTTTGGGAATCATGAAAAGGTAGGGTGCTTACAAACAAGGAAATAGAACTCAGGCTTATGAAAGGAAACTAACATCAGTTAGCACTCAGTATTCCTGCCATAGATCCCTCTTTGGAAAGCAGAAAGTAATGCCTTCCATTAATTCAGCAGGTACTTAATGAGAACTTAAGAGCATCTCCTAAAATCTCTAATCATTGGGAGACTAGTTGTTTATTAGAAATTATGACTTTTTATCATTTGGAACCTGAAGAGGATGTTGAGGTCCTCAAAGTGATTTTTTGTGGCTTTGTTCAGGCGGTGGGAATCCCACCCTGAAAGGTTTAGTGCAAAGGTGCTTGGTATTTCATTGACTGTGATGCAAAAGTTAAGTGTCACAGTAATGAAGAAGACCAGAGTTTGAACCAAAGGGTCCCTACATAGATTCTACTGCAGCATTTGCTACTCAACAACCAGAAGAAGAGCTCCAAGTCTTTGGGGACATATGTTTTATAAATAGCAGTAGGAAAACCAGATTCCAATTTCATTTTTCTGGAAAGAAGCAGGAAGCGCTTTTGACTGATATATATCTTCTCGATTGAGTGCCAAAAGGCAGCCTTTTATCAAGAATGGGCAGAGCCTAGTGGTGAAGGCTGGAGACTTGCTCTGGATAGGAGCTTCCCTGCTGACTGGCTGTGTGACCTTGGGCAAAGCTCTTTAGTTCTTTGAGCCTTGGTTTTCTCATCTGCAAATTGGGAATAGTAATACTCTCTTCATAAGGGAGAAGAAATGCCCAAGGAAGGAGTAAGATCCAAACTAGAAAGAGAAGCCCCCTTCTTCTTGCAGAGTGCCTGAGTGCAGGGCTTAATGTTGTACTTGCTACAAAGAAGTGCTTGCAGGGTCCAGGCCATTATCTCCAAGCAGAGACCAAAGGGTGAACTTGGAGCTGAGAGGCAACGATCTGATAACTGCTATAATGGGCGGTCAAAAATGTTTGAATTAAAGTAGGAAAAGCCATATAATCCGTCAATAACTATCTTAGCCCCTATTTATGTCCCCTTCTTTCAGTCCCCTAAGTTTTTACCACCAATAAATGTCCAACTTCTCACTTCTTTTGTAATTTACTCTCCAGAAGCTCATTTCCCTCTGGGGGATTCCAAGTTGGTTTGTTGTCTTAATGAGGTACGAGTCTTTCTTCTCTTGGCACACACTTAAAAGAGACTCGTGCATGAAAGGGACAGGGAAAGCACTCACACAAACAACCTAAGACCCAATATTTCATCCCACAGTGTATTTCTCCACTCGGCCTTGAGCTTGTTTCCCCACTGCCTCTCTCATTCCTAAGCAGTCCACCTGTCGCTCCCAACCACTGTGGCCGTGTCCCGAAGCACTTGGCTCCCCATGGCAGTGGAAGGGATCAGAGCTGATCCAGGAGCCAGTCTTTCTCTGCCTCTAAGGAAAATGCAGTGGCCACCTCAGGTCAGACCATGGGATTAATCTCCTTGAACAAATCTGAAAGAGTCCAGTCTCCAAGTGTTTTAGGAGAAAATTAGCAACAGAGCGAACAGCAGACTTGGAGGATAATTACCAGCACCAACATTATTCAGAAAGCTTTTGGAAAGGACTAATCGTTTAAACTTGAGAAGCAAAGCAGGGAGAGCGTAGCATGCAAAGAGGCCTGCAGTTGCCCTCCTGGGAGATGATGTTATTAATAGGCACCAAATTTGTGTCAAGACAATGTTCTTAGGCATCAACCACCCTGTTCTTCCCAAATATTTCATTCCCTTCTGAAGAATCAGATTTAATTAGTGTTAACGGATGGTTCCCTTGCTGGAATTAGCTCAACTGTGAAAATGGGGGCGGAGGTAGAGGAGGATAGTTAAAACCTGCAACGATGAAGTGGTTTTGCAAACTTAATTTGTTGACCATCCTTCAGATCCTTCAGAAGGAAGGGCTGGGAAGGTAATCACTTTAGCCTAGAAAAATGGCAATTGGAAAAACTAGAGGAATGTAATCTTTCCACTAAAATGTATATCTGTATATTTGGCTGTCTTACATATTTATTTGCAAGTGATGGTCATTGTGCGCCATGAAACCTAGAGTAGACTGGCGGGAAGTCATCTCAGTATCTTTTCAAGGTTCTACCTTCCTACCCCTCTGTGTACCAAGGAAACCATGCTCTTACATGATCAAGAATAATCCCATGTGTATCCCTGGGTAACTGGGTTGTTACCCAGATCTCTACTTTCTTCTGTTTATCTGTATTTTCTACAGTGAGCATGTATTCTTGTGAAATTAGGTAGATATAAACATTTTAATGAAAAAAAACACCCACATTTTTAAATTCCCTAAATCCTTGGCTGTATTACTGCTTTATGTCTCATATCTAGCCAGATCCTTTTTAGCCTCTTCACTCCCCCTGTTCAGCAGACATCATTTTGGAAAGAGATTTATGTCTTCAGTCTTGAACTTCTAAAAACAACCTTTATTTTCTTCTACCCAGTGGTGATTGATGCTGCACCTGCCTCTGATGTGACAAACACAAGCAGTGAATAAAAGCCTTTCATGATTCCTGCGAGTTCTGAGGCCCTGGAAGGCACTAGCCAGGGGCACTGAGCCACATGAAGATGCTCTGTGGGTTGTAATTCTGCCAGCGGGCACCTTGAAGCTATCACCTGGTATCACTAACCTTTGATCTCTTGCTCTGCTCTTTCAGATTTTTGACAGTGAAGCCAAAGACCTCGAGAGAGAAGTTTGCTTTATTGATATTGCCTGCGATGAAATTCCAGAACGTTACTACAAAGAGTCTGAGGTGAGCAATAGACGGGATGACATGTGGAAGAAATTCATTCATTCCTTCAACAAGAATTATTAAGTCCACCATAACCTGGAGACTTCCATCTGTCTTTGTGTTGATTTAGTCTGGTTTCACATTTTGCTGAATTCTTAATGGCATGTCTCAACATGACATCCCGCCTCCTCAGGGCCCACCATTGGCCCTGGCTGCCACGCAATTGCAGTGTAGTCTTCCTATCTCCCCAATTCTGGCATCATTCTGGGCAGAAAAATATTCACAAGGCTAAACTTACCCAACATACTGGTCTTTCTTAAAAAAAGAGCAGTTACTGCCGTAGCCGGTTTGGCTCAGTGGGTTGAGCATCAGCCTGTGGGCTGAAAGGCCCTGGGTTCGATTCCAGCCAAGGGCACGTATCTCGGTTGCAGGCTCCCGGCCCTGTTGGAGGCATGCGGGAGGCAACCAATAGAGGTGTCTTTCTCACATTGGTGTTTCTCTCTGTCTCTCTCTCTCCCTTCCATTCTCAATAGGAAAATATCCTTGGGTGAGGATTTAAAAAAGAAAACAAAACAAAACAAAAAGCGGCAGTTACTGCCCCAGCTGGGTGGCTGTTGGTTGGGGTGTCATACCTGTACCCCAAAAAAGGTTGCAGGTTTGATCCCAGGTCAAGGCGCATATGGGAGGCAACCGATCGAATATCGATGTTTCTCTCTCTTCCTTTCTTTTTCTCTTTTTTCCCCCCCTTCCTCTCTCTCTCTAAAGTCAATAAACATATGCTTGTGTGAGGATTTAAAACAAAAAGCAGCATTTACTTCTGGCTTCTTGTTTTTCCAGGCTTCTGCATAACCTGCCTCCCCATCCGTGAGGGAGGGGCTGTGTTTTATTTGTATCTTTGGGGTCTGACACACAGAAAATGCCCATTCAGTCCCCTCTGAATGAATGTTGGCGCTTGGGCAGCGCCTGTCAGTGGGGAACCTTTCTCTCTCCAAGCGGGAGGCACTTTCATAGGGCTTCTCCTTTTTTTGTCTTGACTGAGAATAAATTCAAGCGACTATCTTCTCTACAGCCTCTACCCTAATAGATTCCATTGTTCGCCTCAGCCCAACCTTTTTACTTGACTGTGGGTGCAAGCCATCGTTTATATCCCGTTAGTGCTTTATCGATGGCTGCAGAAGGCACTCGGGTGATCCCCTTGTAAATAAGGCCCAGCCCTGCAAGGACAGCGGATGCAGGGCTGTTTCTGTTGTTTAGCAACATGCAGCCAATCACAGTGTGTTTGGACTCAGGGCCCCAGGCTCGTCCTTGAGCCATAACATGTGAACCTTGAAACTCTTCTCTCAGATTCATTAAGGCTGACTTAAGACACAATAAATAAACCCGTTAGAAATAAATCCCACCGCTGCACAAACTGGGCTCCCAATGTGGTTCAGGGTTTGTTTTTTTGCCTTCACATTTTGGGATTCGTTTGGATATAAAGGTCTAACCCGAGGATAGCAAATGCCGAGCCAGCTGCTTAATTGTAGGTGTGACTCCGCAGCCGAGGCTGTGATGTGAATTGTTCTCGGTTCTGGTCCAAGGCTGAGCCATCCATTTATAGTACACTCTGCAGCCAGCCACGCTCGTGAGTTTTCAGAAAAACAGGGTGAGATGCTCTCTGTGTCACATGCCGAGGAGGAGAAACCTGGCCTCCCTGACTCACGGCACGGAGGAGCCATTTCTGTGGTTTCACATCAAGTTCACCAATACTGTGGGGCTTCAGTGATGTGCAGAGCATCGTGCAACACATGGGTGGGGCTGTTGCCCCGTCACTCCCGTGGCTCTTTGGGCCTTGGGGTGCTGCTGTCCTTCCTGAACATCTGGCCTCTTGGGAGCTCGAGCCTTCCCAAACGGCAGTGTTGCCAGAAAACTAATTTCAGCTCTTCTTCTTCAATTGCTTTGGGGTGGGCCTGCCTGTTACTCTGGGAGTTCCCTCCCGGTTCGTGGAAAGTCTTAGGACAAGTGTGGAATACTAATGAGGAAATCAGCCAGTTTCCTTTCTGATCAGCGGTGCCTGACTCATTTCCCTGTGCTTCGTGCTCCAAGAGCCACCACTGGGAAGCTTGTTTTCATCGACACAGACATTCCAGGAACTTGGACTTCTTGCTTCACAGTCATTCATTTCTCTGGGTCTTAGTATTCTTTTCTGGATACAGTTTGACCAAGGAATTGAGAGGAGAATAGTCATTCATCCAATAAATATTCAGTGAGTGTGACATACAGTATTAAGATGGTAACATGGCTATGGGCAGAAGAGGCGCTGAGGGTCCCTTCCCTCAGAACACTTCCAATCTAGCCAGGGAGCCAAACAATAAAGTAATAATGATGAGTACACACAGGGAAACAGAGCGTAAAAGGATGGAATCAGGAAAAATGGGCTGCAGGAAGTGACATGCCGAGACCCACAGGACGGAAAGAGCTGGGGGATAGTGCTTCAGGAAGAGGTGGCAGCATGTGTGGGACCCTGAGGTGGCACGAATGAGGAATCAGAAGGCAGCCAGCATGTTGGCAGTGGTAACAAGGAACTGTGGTGCAAGGGAGACTGGATAGGGGGATGGGGCTGTGTTAAGACACTTAGATTTTATTTTGTTCAAGTGCAATAGAATGCCTTTTTAAAAAAATATATTTGTATTGATTTTAGGGAGAGGAAGGGGCACGGATAGAGAGAGAGAAACATTGATGAATTTCACTGATCAGCTGCCTCCTGCTCGCCCCACATTGGGGATCGAGCCCACAACTCGGGCATGTACCCTGACCGGGAATCAAACTGTGACCTCCTGCTTTATAGGTCGACAATCAACCATTGAGCCACACTGGTCGGGCTGACCTTGTCATATTCTGAGTAAAACCCTTTGGAGGCTGGGAAGAAGCCCAGTCTCTTAGCATGGCCCTCTGCCTTCTCCACTTCTCTGTCCTCCCTGCCTCTGGGCCACTCCCCTGGGAAGCATCCACTCATTCCTCTTTAGAGGCCAGCTCAAACGTGACCTTTCCCGTGAGCCCTCCTGAGCATCCCACACCCCACCCACTGTCCGCGCATTTCTGGTCTGTGGTTTCCAGGTCATGCTAGCTCATGCTAGCTCACAGTTATGTCAACAGCTCCATGAAGACAAGGGCTGTTGTCTTTATCACCGTGCCTCACCAGCTGGCACAGTGCTGGCACATGGCAGACGCTCACGAAACGGTTGTTGAATGAATGAGTGAAAGCCAGGGCCTTTGTTTTCCCTTCCAGCAGCCACAGCCTCAGAGCGAGCGCCATCCGAGAAAATGAATTGGTTGCCAGCAAGCTAACAGTTGTGAATCAGAGTTCCTTTCCTTTTTTCTTTTTAATCTGAGGCATGCAGCTTTACCCATTTTTTTCTTTCAATCCCTCTTTGTAACTTGACTATGTCAGAATCATAAGTAGGATCGCACTTTCTGGGGAGAAAACTATGGTGCCAGTGGCTGAATCTGAGGTTTCTGATGCTTATGGATCTGGACCAGGGTTACCTAGGTCAGTCCTCTCCACCCAGCTCCTGTCACTCACACCACCGTCCAGACCACAGAAGGGGATTAAAGCACTTTTTTCTTTTTCCATTTCTCCTTGGTAACCTCCGAGCTACACAATCAAGAATGCCTCTCTCCATAAGGTAACCAGAGCTGGGAATTTTCCGCTGGTGCCCTCTGCCTGGTGGCCCTGGTGCCACCACTAACCAAGGAGACAGAAGGTCACCGGAGGCTCGGCATCAGCTGACGCCTAGCCCAGTGCTCTCCATATTCTCCTTTTCCAGGACTGCTCTTTCCTGTGCACATCCAGGGCCCGAGCTTTGGCTCCCTAGAACCTCTTCGTCTCACTAGAACAGTGGTTCTCAACCTTGGCTGCACATTAGAATCACCTGGGAATCTTTTTAAAATCCTGATTTCTGGGCCTCATCCTCCGGAAATTCTGTTTCTTCGTTACTAATGTTGTAGCCCCACCCCATAACAAAGAAGCAGAATTTCCGGAGGATGAGGCCCAGAAATCAGGATTTTAAAAAGATTCCCAGGTGATTCTAATGTGCAGCCAAGGTTGAGAACCACTGCACTAGAACCTCTTGGTCTCAAGTTCTGTTCTCTCATATCCATTGCAAAACTCTGCAGAGCATTGCTGTGTATAAAACAAAAAACAGTCACTGTGATTTTTCAGGCACAGAGAGCTCATCCATCAGTCTCAACCCAGCCCGACCAAGGCCCCGGCCCCTGCCAGAGTCAGAAAGCTCATTGTACCGAGTCACATGAGCGGCACCAACGCAGCAAGTAGGAGGGGAGGCCAAAATCCGAGCAGGAGGATAGTGCTCTGGCGGGGGCCGGGGCCTTGGTGGGACCTCCAGGCTCGACTCATTGCCTGGACTAAGAAATTGCCAGCAGCCCAGCCAGTGTGGGTCAGTGGTTGAGCGTCAACCTATGAACCAGACAGTCACGGTTCAATTCCCAGTCAGGGCACATGCCAGGGTGTGGGCTCGATCCCCAGTGTGGGGCATGCAGGAGGCAGCCAGTCAATGATTCTCTCTCATCATAGATGTTTCTATCTCTCTTTCCTCTCCCCTCCTCTCTGAAATCAATAAAAATATATTGGGGGGGGGGGGGAGGGAGATCCCTAGCAGCCTGTCTGTTGGGCCCTCCGATCGAAATATCTGTTGAATTCTCTCTTGAGAGAGAACAGAACAAAGAGAGGTATATCTAACTTTCCCAGTAACTGTCAGGGGTGAGAGATTAAGTGCTGTTTGCTCAGTAGGACGGGCCCCCAGAAAGGGAACCGAGAGGCAAAGTGAGTAAATATTGTCATACTTAACCCTTCAGTACAGAGTGCTTCGCCCAAACCATTCAGCTCCCTCAGATTAAAAACGTTTTCATTTTGGTCCACATCCTGGCGATTGAGGGTGGTAGAATTTTCATTTATCTCCCAACGGCCAGATTTAGCACAGCTGCCTCCTGCTAGGGTACGTTGTCGAGTTCACTTTGTTGTG